TTAAGTATAAGATTCTTTAAATAAATTGATAATGTTATTAAAACTTTTTTGACACCTGTTATACTTAGAAACAAAGATCACAAATAAATCAATCTGTATATTATGACATTAATCAAATCATGAAATGGTAATATTTAATAGAAGGAAGTATAATAGTAGATTTAGAAATAGAGCTTAAGTTTAGAAATAAAGGTATATTTAGAAGTAGAAGAAGAGATAAACTTATTATTAAAGGATTAAAAGTGTGATTAAATTAAAATTTAGGATTAAAACTATTTTTATACTAATAACTTGATATTTCTATTTCTTGTAAATGAAAATTGATAATGAAATATTTATTAAAATTAGAAAATAAGAACAAATATAAGACATTTATTTTCAATTTTTGATTGAAAATATATCACTAGAAGTAACTATTTATTTATAAATAAGTTTTGTTTATTCTAATAGTTACAGATTTTAAGCTCTGATGATTTAAGTTTATTAATTAAGCTTTGTGATTTATTCTAAGAGTTTTTTAATAAGAAATCTAAATAATAGAAGGTAATTATACACTACTTTTAGATAAAGTATCATATTTCTTTTTAGATTTTTTGTTTTTGCTATCATTATAGAAGAGCGAATTAAAGTTGTACTAGATTCTTTACATAAAAAATTGGAATAAGCTTCTAAATTATCTTTATTTTCTTTATATTAATAATTACTCTAGGTAATTCAAAAAGTAGACGTAGATATTTTATAATATTGAGTAATTTTTTAATTAATTACCATTTAGACTTTACTTCTGATTTAATATTTTATTAAAGTCAAGACTCTTGTGATCTTTGACTTATATTATTTTTAGTGATAATACTTAAGTATAAAATGCCTATTTTTTACATAATTAATCTTATCATATTTAATATCATATATAAGATATTCTTTAATAAATTATATTTGAAAGTTAATAAATCCTTTCTTAATTATTCTAATATAAAATCATTTATATTTTGTAATAACTAGATTAACTCCTTTATTTAAAGCATTTTTATTATTGATAGATTAGAATTTTTCTTTTACTAGCTTTTCAGAAGAAAGGATTTATGATTAAATCTCTGAATAATTTTCTTAGACTGAACTAAATAATTGTTTAATTTTTGAAATTCATTTTTAATAAAAGAAATAGCAGGATTTTTTATATGATTTTCCTTTGTTAATTCTAAAAGCTGATAATTGAAATGTATTTTAAAAAGACTAATATCAATAAATTTTTCAACTAGTTCAATAACTTTTTTAATAAAATCCTTAAATTCTCTATAATTTACAAATTGAATATAAGAATAAATAATATGCCAATTGCATTTATTAGTATTTGATAAATTTGCTAATACAAAAGAATTTAAAAAAAATATATAATCTGATATTAAGCTTAATGCATCTGTATAAATAACTAAAATTTGAGATATCAAATTCACATGAATTATTTTTTTATTATTTAAGAAAGAAAGTTTAAAATTATTAAGATCAGGCTTTTATCTTACATTAATATCAATAATTAAATAAAGAAGCTGATTTTTATTAATATATTCATGTGTGTTAGGTATTTTATAAACTTCAAAAGATAATTGATCAATGTAAAATCTTTTTCTTTTATTCAGATTATATATATTGAAAATAAATTTCTTCAAGTTAGTATACCTCTAAAAATATAATATCATTTTTATTAATAAAACTATTATGATCATTAGATTTAAGTTACTATTTATAATATATATGTTCTCTATATCAGATTTATAATTAAGATCTGTTAAACTTTAAAGAATTATTTTTGCTTTATTATATTCAGCTAATTTTTTAATTTAGATACTATTATTGTAATAATTTACATAAATGTTTTTTTTACTTTACTAAATAAACTAATTTTATTAATTTATATATATATATTATTTAATCTAATAAAAAAGTATATATAAGCATTAATTTATTAACTTATAATAAAAGTGATATAAAAAGTTTAATTCAAAAAATAATTATTCTATATATATAAAATTAAAAGTTATTAATTATCACTATTAGTAATAATATTCTATTCTTACTTATATACTTATATTTATAATTATATCTATAAAAAAAGCTATTATTGATAAGAGGATTATACTCTTTATTGAAAAATACAATTGCATAATTCTTGTATAAAATGTAATATATTAACTATTTTTACATATGATATATGTATTAAATATGCTGAAAAATATTACAATAAATTAAACTATCATAAAAAAGGTAGGCTAAATTAATTACAAAATACTATTCTATAATAGAGAATCATATATCTAACTTATCTGATTTTAAGTATGAACTATAAATGTTTTTTAAGATCACTAATTATGCAAATTCTGATCATGCTAGAATAAGTATACTACCTATATTTATTAATATAAAAAAATTGCATATTATAAATAAAATAGTTAGCTATATATATCTGAACATAAACTTGTGAATAGATTGAAATAATTATTTTTTTTGTCTATCTTATCAGTAATTCATATATATAGTTATAATATATATTATATAAAAACCAGTTTAAAAATAAGTCAACTTATTTTAAAATGCATATAATTTATCGGGTAATGATTTAAAATATTTAATATATTCTGATTTTCGTAAACATTTTTTTCACAAATAAATCTATCTTTTTTGATATATTGTCATATCTAAGAATCTAACACAAAATTAATTTCATCTTTAGTAAAGTGATATAGGGTAGGCTCTTTATCAGAAAGAAGTTTCATTATGAAATAAGTTTTTAAAATTCACTTTTATTATAGGTAAATTGAATAAATATTCAAAAGTATAAGATTACTTAGCTAAACAATATTCAGATCTCCTATTTAAAATAATCATATATTTCTTGATAAATATATAATCAAAGAGGTGGAAAATTAATTTTTATTTAAAGCTTTGATTTTGTAAATATATATATACTAAAAACTTTTCACTTATTTATTATTAATGACATATACACAAAAAAATTCTGGCCTCACTTTTGACCTGCTTGCTACCCATGAATTGCTTGAAAATATATTTATTAACCTTTGAATATAAAGATCTTTATTCTTTTATTGTAAATCATCATGAAGTATAGAAGTATTGTGAACTCTCTTAAAACAAAAGAAAGAGATCTTTATAAAAACCTTAATTTTACAAAAGGTCAATTATATTGGAGTAAACAGGAAACAACACGTCTTCATACAATTATTAATACTACATATTATGATTGAATCACTGTATATGATATTAAAAATGTTCATATAATTGTTAATTTTTATATAACCAATCTTATAAAAATTCTTCCCTGTCTTATCAAATCCTCTGTTCTTCGAAATAAATTTCATAGCCAATGGCAAGATCTTTATAGACAGGCAAGAAAGCTTGAAAAAAAGATTGATCTTCTTTATGATATATATGACTAGAGAATATGTATAGCTATAATCTATCCCATCCGTTTATGATGCCACCAATTAATATAGCCCGGCTCCTACCCCGAAACTATAAATTTTTTCGTTATATTCTATGTATTGATAAATTTCAAATAAACAGATCCGACCCAAGGTATTAACATGTATCGCGTGCTTGGCGTATGTCTACTTTGATCCTATTAATATTTTCAACAATCTTATTACGTAGAGCTATGGATTCTAAAACCTTCGATCTATTCCGTGCCTTACTCATATCCATTTTCCGATAGAATTACATTAACCATGAACCCATTCAATTTTTGTGTACAGATATACGAATCCACGGATAATTAATTTCGATTTGAAAAAATATTTTCCATAATATATACTCAAGACAGTATAACCTAAAATATTGATACACAATAACCTGAACATGTCTGCTATTGCAACAAAATTTGTACGAAATCTTGATGCCTCATCCAAAAATAATTGAGGCTACAAAAATTCTTGATATTACGAAAGAAGTCAATGAAATACAAAAAAAGCATCGAAAATTACTGAAGAGATTGATGAATTAATTACCCAGACCATTTTACATTAGAGTCAGTTAAGGAAAGATTAGATGAGTATGATGTTTCTACACTTATTTACAATCTCTCGCCGATGTTATGATAATGCTTTGTATACGCCCTGCTGAACTTATAACTTTGCGCATTACAGATGTTGGAGTAACTGGGTATGCGAAAAATAGAGATCAGAAAGATAGACCTCGAAAATTTAATCGTTAGAGAAGAACCAAGAACGAGCCAAAGAATTACTCACTTGGATTCAGGATGCAATATCTTCTGGCCGAATGGGCGACCCAGGTAAGCCAGGAACTAAAATATTGAATACATTTCTAAAAACTATGATTTAATTCCTCGTTATTTGCGAAAAATGGGAGCGGCTTATGGTGTTGTAGTACATGAAGCCAAGAACATGGCTCACACCTATACAATCACTGGGGAATGTCTTCGCCATGATCCCGAGAATCATACTTCTCTAGTACAGAACTATGTTGTAGTTAATTATAGGCCGATATCTTTTCTTTGCTTAATTCTTATAACAGTTGATTGAGAAATATTTTCTTTAGATGCAATATAACAAGTAGAATATCCCTTTTCAAATAGAATGCAAATCTTTGACCTTTTTTTAACAGATAAATAACCTATTAATATTTTTTTTTTAAAAAAAAAAAAAGAATGCCTTAAGTCCTGAGAAAGCAAGACCATTCCGAATCTACGAAAAAGATTAATCACGCTTCTTTACTTTTGATACATATAGCTCATATTAAAATCGAATTCAGATTCAGAGCTAGACCCAGACGAAGACTCAGATGAGGAATCGCTAAGAATGGTCTTAATTCTAACCTTAACCTTCTTGCAACGTCTTTATACAATATCAGGGTTTGCTATCGCATTTATAATTTCTTGCTGAATCTTGAGTTTCACTATCTTCAGTAATTGGCGAAGAGAAATCCAGATTTTTTTACCCGATACTTGCCTACGAATACTGGATACCACCCTAATAGTATTCCGTTGCTCTGTTAAAGACTTGTTCAACACTTTCACGTAATTCTTGCAAATTGAATGATGCCACTAACTTTTCACAGAATTCTTGAGACGAGTCAATATTGATATTATCTTTAACCATTGCTTCATTTGTAACAGACTGGTTATTATCTTCGGCCATAGTAAACGTTAAATTATTTTTATTAATATACATAATTATTTTTTCGGTTAAAAATATTACATATAATATAACTTACCATGAAAATAACCAAAGCTAGAGTAGGGACCCAAAAAGTTAATTGCCGTCTTATACCAGAATTCCTCGGGCCATCTATGTGTCTGATAAACTCCTCAAGAAAATAGGTGGTAAAATTGGCAGAATGTTAACCCCCGAAGAGAAAGATAGCAAATTCATCAGAGAAGAAACCAAACCTACACTTGGATGGGCCATAATTCCACTTACCTTCATCTCTAATATAAAAAATAATGCCCGACTTAATAACAAAAAATCTATTACCATACCAACCGAAGTATTCGTAGAAAATTATATCCCTAAAATGCCTAACATATTTTGTTGGGTAATAATTGGTTTTATGGCCGAAAATATTATAATGGTGAATTACAAACATACATACCTGAAATTGTGACCGATGCAGAAGATGCTTGGGTAAAAGCAACACTGCGTATCAAAGATCTTAACGCCAAGAAAGGGGGGAGGGGTTATAGTGTGTGTTACTGAGAATAATGTTGATGAATTCTACGACTCCGCTTCTTCTAATTCACGCCAAAATAAGAGCAAGAAAGGTGGGGTCAAGTATTCCACGGATTCGAATGCTTCTTCCAATTCAGATACTTCAGACTCAAGTAATTCTTTCACATCCAGTTCGGGAATATAAGTTATACATGTGAATAAAACTGAAGCTGTAAAGAAACATCCTAAGCATCGTAAAGTATAGGGTAAAATTAATTATCGAGCTTTATATTAATGCATCTGATCTTATATATAGCCACAAAGTGAAGAAAATCACATCACGCTATAATGAGTCTCAGGGGAGCGATGTCATGTGTAGGCTCGAAGAGCAATGACCTTTTTAAGTCGCCCTACGGGCCTGCTCTGCAATAGTGTTAATACATAAATTTTCTCAGTCAAAGGATACATTATCTATAATATACTGAATTTCCTTTTTTTTAAATTTAGATATACTGTCAGCAGAAAAGGAATGAATGCGATAAATTTTAGCATCAAAACGTTTATAAAGCTTCTTTGTTTTTTCGATTCTCTTACGTAAAGGCTATCAGAAGTGTCTGCGGATAACTGTGCTTGTACTTTATTTAAAATTCTACTAACAGTATTGGATTCTGGATCAACTTGTTTTTCCGATGCTATTTCATTACGTCTTTTAATAAGAGCCTTTCCAAATAGGCAATAACACATGATAGCTTCTTGGGTTTTACGATCAGCAAGAATTATAGCATCATCACAAAGATTTTCATATAAAAGCGTAAAGTTAGCATTGATGGGTTGAAATTTTGTTTCATTCGGGGTTGTAGAAGTTATGTCCCTATCTACATTACCATTAGCTGTGCCTCCTTCGGAGATAATAGAATCGGTATATTGTAATTGTGGACTAGAGTTTTCAGAAACTTCTAACATAAATTTCTGTACTTTGTTTTTATTAGATTGCGAAATATTATCTGAACTTCTTTTCCGATTTCTTTCTCTTATTTCGTTACTAATCATTTCCTTATACGTTGAATCCAGAAATTCATCAACCTCCTATCCTCCAATAATTTAGTTTCTGTGACGCAGATTCTGAGCTTTTCTCAATTTCGCTGAGATTAGATGTACAGAAGTGATATTTACTACCTGTTTAGGGGTATTGTCAAGATCCGTTTCAAAAGAAATACCATTTTGTATCAGATTTGGATCCACAGAGCATATATAATTTTTCTTCATCGGAGTAAGTTTCAATAGTTGAAGCGGATGATTGAGAAATTACAGATAATTCTAAACAAGCTGAGGATGGCGAAATATCTTTTGTGGAGATGCTTCCTGTTCGTTAGTGTTCGAATTTGGTAACTCTGTCTTTAAGCTCAACATTTTCAGCAATAAGGATGGCAGTATCCGTTTTTATTTTTTTTCTCTAGCTCTTCCAACCTGGTTTTGAGATCTGTATTCTCTTCTATGACCTGTCTTAGCTTCACGTTCTCAGCCTCGACCTTAGTATACTTCTTTTTAAGTTCACTAATTTCAGCTACAAGCTTGTAATTCTGTTCTAATAAATCGATTTTAGATTGTGTGTTTGCCATTGATTTATATAAGATAGAGAAATATTCAAAAGCTTAAGTTAATAAAAATTACATGAGTACTTGAAAAAAAAATATCAATCACTTCGTGAACTCGGTTCACAAAGAATTCACTTTGCCAAAAATTTAGATAAAATTCTCGATATCAATACAACATAATAATTCCCGAAATTCACATGCACAATTAATTATACAAAATTGGCCACCAGGACTAGCTTTACAAGTTAAAAATCTATATCGGGTATAAAAATCCTTGATGCATATATAACCTCACACGAAAAAAATGATATACAATATAACCGATTTTTTACCCGAAATACATTCACACGAAAAAATAATTCATATTTATATGTATCAACCGCTGATTATGGAACTCCCGACCCTCACCAAGTGACGGAAGAAATTGCTGTGTACTATTTTTATTTGGTTTTTAAAGCCCAATCCTTTATTAATAAAATACATTATCTCTTCGTCTGTAGACTTTCACATGCTACTATGTTTATGCAGGCAAATTTGCCTGCGTTACAGACGAAGGGATAAAAAATATAAAAAATATTAATCTGGACAATGTACGGGACATCTCATACATGAATTGTTATTGTTGCTATTATTGTTGTCCTCATCACCACCGCCATTGTTATAATTATTATCTTCGAAATTATCATGTGATGGTTGTTGTGATGGTTGTCATGATGGTTGTCGTTAATGGTGATGATGATTTATATTTTTTTTTTACGTTTTTGAGTTACATGACCATAATTGTAATTTTTTTTTGGTCTTTTACTGCGACTGTGAAGATAATGGTGGTTCTGATGGTGAATGTTGTTGTTGTTGATGCTGTTGTTACTGCTGGTGATGATGATGATGTTGTTGTTATTGTATTATTGATAGTAACTTCACGGTTATCAGAAATTACTTCACAGTTCACGGTAAGCAATGCATGATGGATATTTTGCCACGAAGTGGCAGAATCCACCAATCAATGCATTGCTCATAGTAACTGTGGAGTTATCGGCGATTACCCGTGAAGTTACGTTATAATTATCCGGTTCAGATAATTAATCTTTTGCTGTTGCAAATTACTTAACGGCCAAAGTATAATTATCATATGTGGCCGTGTAATTATTATGATTAACCCATTTTCTTTTTTTTTGTTGCATCGAACCACTAAAAAAATTATCATCATTGCTATTAATATCATTGTTGGCATTGTATTGTTATTGTCATTGTTAATATTATCGTAATCATCACTACCATCATGTACAGGACCTTCATTAACCGAATCTTCATCCATTTCCCGGTTACTTGAATTTTGCATTTTTACTTTTTCTTGTATTTCAGATAGTTTGTGCCGAAGACGCGATAGTACATCCTGAATGCGAGCTTCTTCTGCTTCACGGACCAAGATATCTTCTTTCTAATTCATAATTAATTCCACCTCCAGAATCAGCATACCTTTACCAACGACAAAGTTGGGGTGCCCGAATAGAGAACCTGGAGTGGTTACCAGCTTTTCATACCCGGTAATTCTCCTAGGCGTCCCGAAGCACGTTAGAAGTTACCCTAACCTTGCAAAATAAAAAAATACACCCCATTCCTTCTAAATCTTCACCGAGTTTTCTTGCTTCTAGTAAGAAATTACTGACCCAGGTGCCTTCGAGATCCTGTCCGCGAGAAGTAGCTGAAGTGGTGGCAACGATTGTGTCTCGATGACAAAGTAGGAGCCCCAAAAAAATTTTTTATGTCACGTCAAATAAGACGTAAGTTCTTCGTAACCGGGATATTTTGTTCGGAAGTCATGGTATAAAAAACTTAGTAAAAATATAGCTTTGTTGAGGTGCAAGAAAAAGTACAAGAATCGTAAAAAAACGCGAACCCTTAAACACGTAGTTTCCCCTTAAATAACGTGTACTGCCTCAGGGGCTAAAAAATCTTACAAAGAACGTGCCATGTGTTAATTTCTTATCTTTCACTTCACGCATGCATTGGAAATTCCTTATAATGTTCGAATTTTTTCTGTGATATTTGTTATCAATATATCGCATGACTAGATAATGCATGCAAGTTTCTATCGGGCAAGCCCGTGCGCAGCATTACATTTGAATTCCTGTGATAGGTTAATCATTTTAGCGGAGATACTAAGTTAAATTGTAATGTTATATAATTAATAAATCAAATAAATAGATTAAATAGATGTGTATATTATACATTTTTAGATAGGTTATATATTGTTAATTTGACGCATTGCTTCTCGAAACGCCCATAATGTTCAGCAAATTGTGCAGCATATATTCCTTCGGGTCTGTAGAAAATTTCCTTTGTATAATTGTGCATGATCTAATCTTTTACCAGCTTCTCTAGCACGTTTGATCCTTCTGATAGCATTTGACATCCACAAAATATATCCGTGTAATGCATACTCATTATCATAGTAATACCCTGAAATAGATTTTTGCTGGATTTTTAAATATTTATCATAACTTATATCACAAAAGATATTTCCTGTACAATGAGAAGCCATTCCTATGTGATTATAATTACCTATATTTTTAGTCCATTCTCTGGTATATACTAATTGATTGCAAGAGAAACATATAGCAATACCAATTTCAGGTGTATAACTTGTATAAAATCCATTAAAATCACTCCAATAACTTTTTAACTTCCTAGCTTTAAGATATTTTTTACTATTATAAGCTAAGAAATCATTTTCTCTAAAATATGTAAGAAGTTCCCAAATCTGCTTCATTTAATCAGTAGAAGTTTCATTCAATAAATCATTTTCCATCTTTATATATTCATCCCATTCAGCATCAATACAATTAGTTCCATATAATTCACTTAAGCTAACCATTTTATATGATCTATTTATAGTGTTTATAAAAGTTATATATGATTTATATTGAATTTAAGAATTTTGACCTATTTGATTTAATAATTTTATACTATTAAATATAAAAATTCTATATTCATTATATTTTGTAAAGATAAGAATATATAAAATACATAAATTGGTATATATTAAGCAATATAAATTAATTTTAAAATAAATTTAAAATATCTGGTTCACACTATATAGAGAATAAAGTCTTTTAAATTGTATTAATAAATAGTTGTAAGGTTTTTAAAAGAAATATATAATAATAATGAATTATTTTGATATGTACTTTATAAATATTTTAGACTTTATTTATAATTTAAAGAGTCACCTTATAGACCTGCTATTTTGTGATAATTAGACACTATATACTTGTAAAGCAATAGCTATTTTTTTTATTGATTTTTATCAGTATATATTTTATAATTTTTTGCATGCAAATTTTTTATACATAAAATAAAATGTTAAGATACATATAAATATAGTTAACTAAGAAATATAAACTTCAGATATTAATACCTATACATATAATTAAATACATAAGTATTTTTACTTTACAAGTGAGAAGAAAATTAATTATCATATTAAAAAAGAGTTAGATAATTTATCTTGACAATTGCTTGAATATAATAAAAAACTTTTAGTTCTTTTATGTAAAAAATTACTAAATAGCTTGAAGATCAGATTAATATTAATAGTAAATTATATAGTAAAATAGAATAATAAAAAATAAAATTGCAAAAGATGAAAAAATTACTTGTAACTAAGTTCTGATATTTCACTCTATTCATTAAAAAATCAAATAGCTAATTCTAACTGATCTTTATTTTGTATAAATATTTAGGAGATATACTTAAATCAAAATTATAAATTTCTGTACATATAAATACTTATTAATAATTTTATAAATACTATACTAAGGTTGTTAAATGAATCTAGAAGTTTTGCAAATCATCTAAATAGAAAAAGGTAAAATTTAATAAAATTATATTAAAATCTTATTAAAAAATCTGCAAAATTCTGAAAAAGGTAAAACTATATTAAAGTTTATAAAAATACGAAACTATATCAAAACTTTAGTAAAACTATAATTTAGATGTTTTGTCAAATCTAAAATAAATTTAAATAAGTAACCTTATACTATGCCAATTATTAATATATAAATAAAATATTCTGCTTAGCTTGTCTGAAAAGCAATTTTTATTGAAGAATATAATATATTTTAAGTTTTTTCTTATTATCTTTAGGTAGTCAGAATAGCTTTGTAATATATATATAAATGAAATATTGAAATAATAATTTCAATAAAATAAGATATAATCTTCTTTTAAATTTTCTTTAAATCAATATATAGATACTCAAATATAACTACTATATTTTTATCTAAAGAGAATGAATCTAGCTTTAAAATTTTATAGTCTAAAAAGTAATATTTTTACAATGTAATTCTAAACTATTTGCAATTATTTAAAATACATATTTAATATATATATATTTGGGTTTCTTAAGATATAATCAATAAGCATAATATCATCACACTTAATATTTCTATTATTCTTTTTTTTGCTATTAAACATTTTATAAAATTTATTTCCTAATAAAAAATTAATAATTTCAATAGATTTACCTGAATTAGTCTATCTAAAACTAATATTGTAAACGATCATTAAGAGAATGAGTTTTTTAAATATATTTTTTAGGAAACTTATATTTGTCTATTATATATAAATCTCTTGACTAGTTCAAACTTTTCTACTTTTATCTTAATTAAGCTAAATATCTTTTATTATATAAAAAATATATTAAATATATTGGTAAAATTCATTTAAAATTCTAAAGTTAGTAAATACCCTTTCTCAGTTAATGTGATATAAATATAAGTCAAAAGGTCACAATCAAATAGGATAGAAATGAAATCTATACCTTCTCAAACATATATATATATAACTTTTTTGATTCTACACCTGTTACTTATTTAAGTCTATCTAATCTTACTTATAAAATATTTAATTAAGAGTAAATATTAGGAGTCTTGATGTTTAAAAGCTAATTTTAATTTTTTATTATATTTATTGAACTTAAATCTATCCAAAACTTTAGTACATATAGCAGAAATTTCTTATCTAATAGATCTTCAAAAATATATCAATACTATCATTCATTAGTTATATAATAGCATAGAAAATACTACTCAAATTTTTACTTTAGAACTTCTAATAGATACTTAAATTGATGGAATCTATTTTTTATATAATCAGAGATATATATTAAAACTATTTATTTAGCCAGTTTTATTAAGATACTTTTATTACATTTTTCAATATAAATTTAAATATTAGCTATTTTATTAATAATATAAACAAAATTAATAGATCTAAAATAAGTATTTTCTTTAATATATTCTAAGGTAAAAGTTATACTATATTAATATGTAAGAGTTCTTTTTACACAAAAGTTATAGAAGGAATGTAATTACTATCTAAATAATATAAAATTGTCTCATTTTTTTTAATACTATCCCTTAAGTTATAAAGGTTTATAGGTAAATTTGTCTGCTTATTACTATAAATTTCCTTCTGATTTACTTTTATGAAAAATTAAAATTTTTTAAATTAATTTTATAAATATATATTATATTATAATAATTTTTATTTTTTAATTTTATAATAAATAATTTACAGTTACTTATAAGCTAAAATTTGTAATTTTTAAAAAAATTATAAATTAAAAAATTTCATCATTGACCTTTGACAATCTTATTAATATTTACTTTTAGAAATATTAATCATAATAGAATATTATGAAATTTATCATAAAGAATAATTTTAATTATTACATATTTTAAATTTACTAAAAAATTTTATGACTTTTATTAATAAGTGATTCAATTAGTTCACAAATATATATTATATTTTAAAGAATTTTTTAAAAAATTATTATAATAAATTTTTTAAAACTTAAATTTAAAAATTAAATTATTTAAAAAATATTTTATAAACTTAAAATTTCTTCATAAAATATATACTAAACTATATTTTTTATATATTTATTATATTACTAAAATTAATATTTAATATTTTATTAAAAAAATAACACATTTTTTTAAGTTTGCAGGCAAATTTGCCTACTAGGCAATTTAAACAATAATTTTTATAATAAGATAAATAGAAGGATTATATGTAAAATTAGTAGCTTTTTTACACTTTTTAGATTATCTTTTCATTTTATATTAGCAGAAAGATAGCAAATAATACTTTCTTTTTAATTTTTTTATTTTTTTCTATAGGATATTTTCATAAAATAAATGGCTTAGATTCAATTCTTTTTAATTTAATAATTTTATTAGTATTAATCCTATTTTTTTAAACTCAAAGCTTTAATAAAATATGTTAGATAATTATTTAGATAATCTATTATTTAAGAAAGGTATTTAATTCATATACTTATTAATTTAGTATTTGAAGTTAGACTCTTAATAGTAAATTAAATTTTATAAAACATCTTCACAAAAGTTTTATAGAATCTATCTATAATTACAAGATCTTTATAACTATATATATTAATTACTTAAATTACTAAATAGTATTTTTATATTATTTAGGTTATTTTACCTATATACTTACAATTATTATTAATAGTATTACACGAAAGAAGACATAGATGATGATGATCCAAAGGATGACGTCGATTTCTAAGAAATCATATATGTCTTCTATGTCATCTATGTCGTCTATAGCATATATTTCTTTTATACAATATATTTCTTT